ACGTTGCCACTTCCTAGAACAAACATTCAACAGTCACCATCTGCTTCTTCTGTACAGTGTGATGGTTGCCACTTCCTAGAAAAACGTTGAACAGTCACCATCTACCGAGTGAACGTTGCCACTCCCCAGAAAAAAACGTTCAACAGTCATCATCTACCTCCTCTGTACAGTGTGATGGTCGCCACATCCTGAAACAAACATTCAACAGTCACCATCTACCTCCTCTGTACTGTGTGATGGTCGCCACTTCCTAGAACAAACATTCAACAGTCACCATCTACCTCCTCTGTACTGTGTGATGGTCGCCACTTCCTAGAACAAACATTCAACAGTCACCATCTACCTCCTCTGTACTGTGTGATGGTCGCCACTTCCTAGAACAAACATTCAACAGTCACCATCTACCTCCTCTGTACTGTGTGATGGTCGCCACTTCCTAGAACAAACATTCAACAGTCACCATCTACCTCCTCTGTACTGTGTGATGGTCGCCACTTCCTAGAACAAACATTCAACAGTCACCATCTACCTCATCTGTACTGTGTGATGGTCACCACTTCCTAGAACAAACATTCAACAGTCACCATCTACCTCCTCTGTACTGTGTGATGGTCGCCACTTCCTAGAACAAACATTCAACAGTCACCATCTACCTCATCTGTACTGTGTGATGGTCGCCACTTCCTAGAACAAACATTCAACAGTCACCATCTACCTCATCTGTACTGTGTGATGGTCGCCACTTCCTAGAACAAACATTCAACAGTCACCATCTACCTCATCTGTACTGTGTGATGGTCGCCACTTCCTAGAACAAACATTCAACAGTCACCATCTACCTCCTCTGTACTGTGTGATGGTCGCCACTTCCTAGAACAAACATTCAACAGTCACCATCTACCTCATCTGTACTGTGTGATGGTCGCCACTTCCTAGAACAAACATTCAACAGTCACCATCTACCTCATCTGTACTGTGTGATGGTCGCCACTTCCTAGAACAAACATTCAACAGTCACCATCTACCTCATCTGTACTGTGTGATGGTCTCCACTTCCTAGAACAAACATTCAACAGTCACCATCTACCTCATCTGTACTGTGTGATGGTCGCCACTTCCTAGAACAAACATTCAGCAGTCACCATCTACTTTTCCTGTTCAGTGGCTGTCTTCTTAATGCGATTGCTGGGAGGGAACCTGTTGACCTATTTCCTAGTTGGCGACAGTAGATTATACCTTCAGGGTGTGTGACGGCTGCCAGGGAATCAGGTAAATAAACTACTAAAAACGTAAATGCCGAGTTTTGGTCTAATCCATTAATGAAACTGTACAAAAGAGATTATGATAACTAAGCCTGTACGTACTCTGCCATTATCCAATTTATACTTTGCACGAAAAAGCTTACATTAATTTGCTTAGGTAAAAGCTAAAATAGTGTTGTAGATAGTTGCAGTAGGCATTCCTTTAAGAGAACTTTAGACCACTTAATTATAAATTAGAAGGAAAGCGAAATCTGATGAGTGCTACAGCTTAAACTTCACTAAGTAACTAATGCATCTTAATTATAATTGTTTAAATGTATTTCATATGTATTTTGTCTTTCCTCATTGATATAAATTCATTATTCTTAAACTTCCCACCCATATATTTTTATATAGCTCCTTTCAGAACTTTTTATTGTATAGGTATGTTTAAGATTTTGATTTAATAATGGAAGACCTAAAGCTGCTATTGTTTTCAGAACAGCGTTCTCACAACGAAAAAGACATAGAAGGTGAGTACATAGTTATGACCGCTTTTCTGTATGAATAAAACCTAAATGTACTGATTTCAAAGTAACTCGAAACATAATTAGCAGTGAAATATAGTATATTTAAGGTTCCATTAAAAAGGATGCCATATCCAAAACCAGCAAGAACAATTTATAGCAAACGGCTGCAAACACATTTCTAATTTTGAAAGTTATTGACTTTCAAAATTAGAAATGGATTAGATGGATTTACAGCCGTACTCAACATTATTTGACTATCCTTATTGAAGATTAGTATGATCTAACACATTATTGTATCATGAAACTTAATTCAATAAACAAAATAAACATATCTATTTCATAATTACCTAAAATAACAAATAAATTAAAATAGCTTGCATTTCTAAATACAGTAAAATAAATTTAAAACTTACAGCAGTTTCAAACAATATGAATGTGCATTTACAACACCTTGTGTTACAGCATAGAAATGCAAAACACCTTCAGCATTACGTTTCTTCTGATAACATGGGACAACAACTGATAAAATGGTTGTGGAAAACCTAATTTTAAGATAACAGAACGGTAATGAGGGACACAACTAGCCTTCAAAAGACCCCGTTGAAACTATACATTTGCAAAATGAATTAGGAGGAGACTAATCCTCTCAATGCGATATGAGTTATTTTATTTTGTTGATTCACGATTGAATTAAAATACCAATAATCTAATAATTCTGCACATTTTTGTCAGCATTGCATTTTCCGTTTATGTATTACGTTGTATTACGTTTATTTTGTGTAAAATAATAAAATAATAAAAATAAGTGCAATTGTTTCAAACAAATAGCAAAACCCAAAAACAGGATTTTACCCTACATTAATTTATTTTTAAATTATACAAAACTGGTTTGCTATAATTGTTTTTTATTTATAACTTTTTACATCTAGAGAACATATTATCTTCTATGTTTTGGTTAATCCAGGTGGAACGGTGGTTTTCTATTTTTCGAACAGTCAACTACCTGGGATATTTTATTTAATTTCCAACCCAAACAATAAATCAACAAAACTGTGGCAGTCAGTTTTATCGACAGGGTTGGTAAATTACTATTCCACGTCGGTTTTTTATTTACATTGGAATACTATGATTGAACTGCCTTGCCACTGTGTCCTATAAAAATCCAATATTGTCTCACTAAAAGATTACATATATGCCTATAGTTTTATATAAAATGGTATAACTGTAGGTATTGAGTATAATAATCGCATGGATCTATTATAAATTTTATATTTATGATAGTTATGTGTAGTTTTCTCATCGTAACCTATTCAACATCGACGGGTTGCCCATACGAATTCCATTTTCCTAATTTTAGAAGTTATTTTTTTAAATATTTAAAACAATAAATCCATTTAGCAATAAGCTCTAAGCTTTTTTATATGTTTACTAGCCGTTATTCCCGTGCCTTCCAACTGGGTTTAGCAATGAGTGGTTTGTACTGTAAACGAAAAGCTATCACAACACAGGTACTGTAGTTGGTAGTTCCAAACCCGTAAATAGTGAAATTTTCTTACATTTTTAGGAGACATTTGAGTTAAAATGTATCAGGCAAGTGAAAATTCTCTAAGTCTGCAGTTTTGTATTTTATTACGGTTTCCGCAAAAATATATTTAAAAAATAATTCTCTTAAAACTCCGAGGTTGATACGGCAACGGTCATAGAAATTAACTTATTTGATTAGTGATTAATTTCTTTTATCAATTATGACTAATTTTATATCAAATATCATTCGATTATTAATTTTGTTTAAACAACTGTTGAGAATAATTTTGAAATCAAGTGCATTTGACAGATATGCTTGTTTAAATTTAAACATTAAGAGTTTGCTCTTTGTTGCCATGGGTACCAATCAATTTACTTTTAAAACTCTCACTTTAGAACTTTGAAAGCATAGGGCAGAGTCCTAGGCCAATATCGAAGTGGGGATAGTTATTTATGTATCCTCTGAGCTGTAACTTTATTTTTGTCCAATTTGAGCCAAGTCACATTACATTAACATTACATATACATATAAATATACATGTAAATTACAATACTATTCTTTGTATAGTTTTGTAAAGTGGTTCCAAACAACTTATCAAAGCGTGTTGTGGTTAGTAGTGTGTGATTAATTCCTACCCCAATCAATCTAGCAGCTAAGTTTCATTCTGAGGGTTTTCAGGCTCAAAGCTCTTAAAAGCTTTTAAGACAGACAAGCCGATGGCAACTAAATTATCCGCAGCGTCATTCGATTAAGCCCAAGGTAATGGAGGGTTCTCAATTACATTACAAACTAAATTCAGCCAATTTCCGTTTCCACTGTTTTATTTATGGCTGCTAATTTTACAACTATTCCATCTTTTGAGTTTTTAATTTAGCTTTGTCTGTTTATTTAGCTTTATTTATAATTTCAAAAATATATTTTTCTAGTATAAGACCTAAGAACTAAAATTGATTGTATATAAATTAAATTTACATTAAGATTATTGTGAATAATTAAAATTTTTTTATACATTTTCATGAACAAGGCCCAAACTAGTTAACCAAAAAATAAGTTAGTTAGTGGCAAAATAATACCTCTGAGACTAGATTTTTAAAAAGATTAGGTAAAATTCCCTTTGTTAGGACTTTATTTTTGTTACTGGGATACTAATTTAATCTCAAATTTTAAAAATATAAATTATTTCAAAATACGTTGGCATTACAGTGCATACTCTGTGGGTTCAACTAACTATTTCAATTAATTTTAAGGTTAAACTATTAACTTTTGTTCTTTAATCACAGATAGAGAGAGAGTTGTGTGTGTCACATAGCAGCTATCATTATGTTAAGGTATCAATTTTACCTTTTAAAAAACATCATAATAAGATAGTCATGATATTGAATATCAGTGCTCCATAAACTGGTGACTACTATGGAAAAGGAATTTTTTTATACTCAAAATAAAAAAAGCAAGCTCGGATCGGTTAGCGTAACGTATTTATTTAAGGTAGAATATTCGATGAAGTATATATCTAACTAGATAATTAATAATTTAATACAATTTTAACAACAGTATAACTGAGCGGATAAATACTTATGTTGTTACATTACTCAGTTAACATCATAGAAAGATCACAGGATTCAAATATTCCAAAGTTTGATGGATTGGGATTGTAAAGAACTTTTAAAGCAAGTACCTAGAATTTATTTATTTGAAACAGATTCTCTAAAAGTATCCAGCAACAGGGTAGATAATATCCTGGTAGTAGCCGGGAAGGTTGTAGTCGTTGCAGAGGAACCCTTGATAGCCGTCATAGAACCCTTCGTAGGGGTAGAAACCCTCGCCATGTCCTCGAGCGTACTGGGGTGCAGGCATCGGGCCGGGGCTAGGGCCTGACTGGGGGGCGAAGCCCGGGAATGGTGCAGGGGCCGGTAAAGGCATGGGGCCAGGGTATGGACCAGGTGCTGCAGCTGGTTGGGGGTAGGGACCAGCTGATGGTTGGGGCCCTGGGTGTGGTCCAGATGAAGGCAACGACGTTGGGTATGGTCCCGGAGCAGGTTGAGCTGCAGGGTAGGGACCTGGGGCCGGGTATGGACTAGGGGCGGGCATACCACTCACCACAGCACCCATGGCTAAAACTGTAAACAAAACAGAAAACGTAATATTTGTATTTCATAAAGTGTGTTTTGTTCAATATAACTCTGGGTTCAGTTTTCCTTTTTATTATAGCGTAACTGATAGGGAAAATTAATACTAAACATTTCATTAACACATAATTGTATAAAATCTATATTATGATACAAATCAACTCTTATTATTGCCTAAATGATTCAGCATAATTAAACAGTTTTTATTTACAATCTTTATAGGCAAATAATAATTTTTTCTCGTATTTGTTTCTTTTATAGACCCCGCAGAAATTACAATAATTTAAAAGGTTTCTCTACAAATAATTCATTAGCATAACATTGTCTAGTTCCTGTTCGGATTGTTATTGAGTCATCTTATCACAGTCTAATAAAATGTTTTTGACTAAACACAAGCCAGCCTTAGTTTTAAATTGTGATACGGTAAGTTAAGAGCTATTCTAAATCAGCCTCAAATTTATAAACACTACTGGCTAATCGTAGGTCAATTATTTCTCTGCACCATTTCTCCGTGGAAGCTGGAAGTAACAAGTCTAAGACTCTTTATGCCCAAAAACTAACGTACTAATTACAAGGGGCTTCTACCAGGCGAGACTTCAACAATATTCTTCTTTGATCTAGAACATTTAAAGGTATTTATACAAAAATATATACCCATGGAAGTTGACATAGGTGGCGTTGTCTGTCTATGAAGTATCTTATCTATGACTTAAAATCTTTCCAGTAATAGTGTGAGTTAAAATTACCTTTTCTCCTCGCCTTTTTACTCCATCTCTATTAACTTTAGAGGGATGAAGGTGCAAATATGTAGTTTTATGGTATGTGTTTTAAGGTATTTTTTTCATAGAATATAATTACAATGCAATAGCAATAAACCAATTTTAATCGTATGAGAAATAGTTATTGCATTTTCAATATCTGGCAATAATTAAATAGTTAATAATTTGAATGTTTAAAATCCAACAATCAAAATCAGCTGGTTTTGTAAACAAAGTTTAACACTTAGCTGATCAGATGTCAGCTGATTGAGAGATAGCAAAGAAATAACAGATACTGTATTACATTTAGTTCAATGTTTGGATTCCCAAAACTCTGACCTTGACGCTGTTGTAACCTAGTTTTTCGAATTGTTAATGCAGTAATCACCTTATTGGTTACATCATTTTAAAGGACATGAAATGCGAAAGGGTTTTACGTAATTTTACAAAACATCGCATTGGTATTAATATTTGGAACACCACTTTGAAGTTGTAAAGAAGTATTAAAGAAACGTCTTTATTTATGTTATGTGAGACATACAATTATGTAAATATGGTTGTGTGTTAAAGGTGTTGAAATCATTAGCAGGAAGTTTGACGCTTTTTTTGTTGCTGCAGATTTTAATGTTACGCTTAAATTGGTTTTATTTCTATGCTCGTTTTAGTTAGGCTACTACTGGTAATTTTTAAAATGCACATAATCGGCAATGACACAGGTGGGTTGGAAAATCTTTGTTTGACATTTGTCCTTTTTAGTGAGTAGAATAACTAGTAACAATTAACGCATTTAGTAGAAACCCGTCCTCTATGTATGAATAAAATCATGTACAAAACACAGAAGCAAAATTTATTAAGTAAACAAACAATAACTAATAAAAGTGCTATTTTAAGTAAAATATGCATTAAGTCCTACTTAGTGGACATATTAGTTATTTCAAAAAAAATTTTTGACCAAGGCTTACGAAAACATATTGAAACACGAAAAAGACTGTAAATAATTGAAGATATTTAAGATATGAAGATTAGTATAAAAACTACTATTCTTTAAATATATATTTTCTATTATGGAGTTGTATCACTACGTTCTTGTATCATCCACAAAGCTTTTGATATGTTCCTATTATTTGTCTATCTCCAAACGATTTATGTGTTTTAGATATATTTTAACAATCGCAATTGCAATAATTATTACTTAGACTGTGTACTTTTTCATTTTTATTTTTGTTTACTTAGATTTATGTTAGGTTATGTTTATTTAGATTTCAAATTGCTCTTATGTCTAAAATTCTACACGTAATTACTCACAAAGGTTAGTAAAGAAACATTTAATATTTAACAGTCTTTTATTTTTCTACAACTACTTTATTCTAAGGGTAGATTCCGTAAGGGGTGCCGGGGTAAGGAACACCCTCAAGAACGGGGAATGGCTCAAGGAAGGGAGGGCAACCTCCAACTTCGCAGCTCAGACCGGGGACGAACCCGGCACCACCGTAGTAGGGGTAGCCACGGTATTGGTTAGGGTCAGCTGCAGGGTAGGGGGCTGCAGCGGGGTAAGGAGCTGGCATTGGGGCAGGAGCGGGTGCTGGGTAAGGGTAAGGTGCTGGGTAAGGCGCGGGTGCTGGGGCAGCGACGGGCCTAGGAGCTGGGCCTGGGGCGGGGCCTGGGGCTGGGCCTGGGTTGGGGCCTGGCCTAGGTGCTGGTGCGGGGTAAGGCCCTGGGGCGGCGCTCACTGCCACGCACAACACCGCAACACCTGAAATACAAATATTTTTATGTTTTTTTTTTGTACACACGTGCCAAATTATCTTGCTGATTCTGTATCGACCTTTGTTTATTTACTGGGATGCAGTTGTGCTATAAAATATTGTGAGATTATTATTTTGCGAAAACCCTCTAATTTGTATAGTATTTGTTGTATGATGTTCATTACGGAAATGTATTTTATTTCAGAAATTCAAGAGATTTATTGAGGAATAAATTGGTATAGCTTTCATCTGGTGCTAGCTAAGCTAATACGTTTTGAACAACGATGGGCATTGTAAATTTTAGAATCTATGTTGTACTATGTAACAAAGATAATGACAATTTGGATTTTATTTATTGTAAAGTGAAATTTCCAATGTTTTATTATGTCTTTTAGGGCCCTTCCCCAGTGCCAGGCCAAAATTAAAGGATTTATTTATGTCTTACAACGATAGGGATTGAATCTTTTGGCGGCCTACATGATGTGCCCCAGAACCCTGTGTAGTGTGGCAGGAAAAGGTAAGTGATGTCGGATAAGTAGACAAGGATACCAAGCAGTTAAAGCTTAGATTTGAATTATATTATGTACGTGTTGTACATGCGTTTCCTTCGTAATTATGATGCCCTTAGTCTCAATCATGTTGGTTGCATTTTCTGAGATTCAAGGGTAAAATGTTATTAATATTGTCAACAACCTATGTCATTATAGTTTCGTTAATGTTTCCACTTGTTATTAACACTTGGTAATTTTCATGAATGTTTTATTATTATGTCAATATTATGTTATTACTAACTTAATTTTAAACTATAAAAGATAAGGTGTTTAAAATGTGGTCTTCTTCTAAATATTTTCTAACTAACCATTTTTGTTACTAAAAATTTAGGTTTAAGAAATATAGTACCGTAGTTTTACCAATAAAGATTTTAATACCAATTAGCTGGTCAAAGCCTAATAAATCCTCCGAAATGACCCTAGAATTAGGCGATTAATACATAATTAATGTATAATTAATTGAGTAATTAATTAATTTAGTAATGTATAATCAAACAGACTAAAAATATATCCACTGTAATAATTTTATTTTTATTCCAAATTTTTTATATAATAAAAGTTTTTATTTACTGTACTTCATTATTTATACATGCTATTATTTTACATCCTCATTATCGTGAATGCTAAAACTGTATGGGGTTTATCTACCAATTCATATTTTTGTTTGACATAAATAAAAGTAAAATAGAACACCTTAATTTATTAATATTATCAATGTAATATTATGCATTGACTGAAAACATAGTTTAACACATCCGGCCTAAATCATTTGTATAAAGCCTTTTAAAATTTTAAAAACTACAATATTTTGCCATAAAAGTCATATAAAGTGTGTAATAAAGTATATATAACTATCCAATGTTATGCAAAATAAAAATTTTGGGTGCAAAACCCCAAAACCCAAGAGGATCCTAGATTTGAAGACTCTGAGAGCTAGTCACAAAGTCAATTTAGTCTTAGAAATAAATAGTAAAAAAATAGCTTTTACTTATTGGAATATAATCTTTTCCTTTTGTCGAGAACTGCAATTTCAAATATTTTGAATTCAACAAAACCTAAATCCAGGATTGTTTTGATGACACTAAAACAAAATCAATTGATCCAGGAAATATCAGGAAGACCAACAAAAACTGCCCAGGAGTTGTTTAAAGATTTTTATTTCATACAAAACCTAAATCTACAACAAAATTATAGAGCGGAGCGAATCAGAGAAAGTAACCGGGCTGGAATCCTGGGTAGGGGACGTCATAGGCAACCGGGTCATAGAAACCGGGGTAGCCGATGCCGCATTCGTAACCTCTGAATCCGTCGTAGAATCCCTCACCGTACGGGTATCCGAATCCGTACCCTTCGTATCCGTAATTGGGTTGGGGAGCGGCAGCAGGAGCCGGGGCAGGGTTAGGGAATGCTACTGGGGCAGGGACGGGCATGGGTGCTGGGCGGGGGTAAGGACCTGGGGCAGGTTTGGCATAAGGTCCTGGCTGTGGGCCGGGCTGTGGCTGGGGTTGAGGTGCGGGGTAGGGACCAGGGGCTGGGACAGCCGAGACAGCCACACAGGCGACGAGCACGCCTGTAAACCAACACAAGCTGTCAATGGTACATCTACACTTTCTTAAGACAATAATTAATAGTTTAATTACATTTTGACGTCTTTAATCCCATTTTTTAAACAGATGGCTATAGTTTCAAGGCATGGTACTTAGATATCTTCATATTTGACCAGATTGCTGGATTGATAGCGCCATTGATAGATAAGGACACCGAAGTTGTCTATAAAGTAGGCCTACTCCTTCTAAGAATAATAAGTTCTACCAATGATCCAGGACTTAGTTTTGGCTTTGAAACTATTGTCAACCAGACATTTGGCTGACAGCCTGTTGAGGGTCAGGTTGGGAAACTAGCAGTTTGTTGCAGTATGGGATGTGTTATGTGATGCAATGTCGAAATTCTCAGGCAGTGAAGCTCTGCTCTTTTACAAAAGGTGTTTATGTTTGTCTTAACATGGAGTAGGCTTATAAAGATGTAGCTGCTGTAAACTGTTAACATTTCAGTCACCGAACATTTTTCTAACAGTAAGTAGTCCAGATAAATAGCCGACGACACTATCCTAACAGCCCTTTCCTGGGGAATCAGAAACGTTTCACAACTAGAGACGTGGTCCCATAACAGCAGGTCATAGGTTATGCATGTTGCACCATCATCAAATATATTTCATCTACTTAACTTACTACTTAAAATTGTCTTCTCTGTCGTCAAATGTTCATCAGAAAACTAAGAAGATCGTAGATTTGGCAATGTTGCAACATGCCTAGAAAATATAGTCATAAAAAAAAAACTAGAGGATTGATGACGATAACAGGTAACTGACCTAGAGTATCGATTGTCAATTCGGGAGGCAAATAAAATTTCCTAAAACAAACAACGCCAATACAAGACCTAACACACCCTACTACCTCAACCAGACTCACACAAACTGTAGTGCAATGTTTAGGGTCAAAAGGAATGATGATTTTAATGAATTGATTCTAAGTTACTGCAACAAAAGTTCATAACAAAAATATAGAGACTATCCTGTGAAATAGGGGATCAGAATGTTTGTCTAAGAAGGAAAAATGAATAATTACCTGCACATTTTGTTGGTTACGTTGAATGTGTCAAACAATTTATATAATATATTTTTTTTTGCGTTACATTTAACCAACGGAAAATATTGTTGCGGGCAGGTTTGTAAAATATTTTGAGCAAATGAAACCAACAAATACAAAGCATTGGGAGGTCTTAATTATTTTCTTAATTTAGGTTAAACCACTGCTATGCTTTCAGGTGTTTTGCATAAGGGGAATATTTAGATATTTATTTATTCTTATTAATTATTGAAAAGTGTGTAGTTGTCATTCCTTTCAAAAATACTTAGCAAGTACTTGTATCAGAACGGTGTTTCGTTCCTCTACAACTTTTTTATGTTAATACTGTATCCACATTGGAGGCCAACGCAAATTCAACCTAAATCTATGAACGTTCCCTGTACTTCCAACTAGAGAAGAAGCTTAATTTGTGATTGAGCACAAATGGGGATTCAATAAAACATTACATGCGGTATGCAATTTGAACCCATATTATTATGTTATAATATTTCAAAGCATCTCGGAAGATTATCCTAAATTTTCATCAATTTACTGAATTACATTGATTTGCAAAACTTAGTGAATTGCAATTTTCATAATCAGGCTGTAAATCATGCTATTGAGATTTTTCCGGTATAACCATTTTGCTTTTTTTCAATTTATAACTCATATTTGTTTTATACTAGTCAAAATATGACTAATAAGATTTGATTATCTATGCACAAAGCTTCTCGATAATGAAAGTAAATTCTGCTATAAATTGATTATAAACCAAGCAAATTACTTTCAGGACTATATTTGTGTACCACTGTATTTTAAATCGTCAATATTTTATGGATCGTATATTGCAAATATATCAAACGTTCTCTTATCTTAATTAAACATGAACAATAACCACTTTATCAGAGACAGCAATTTCTTCCTCAATTGCGTTGAAGATTTATAATAGTAAATATTATAAAGATAGTGGGAACTGTGTCAATAGTTAGTGTATTATGTTTATTGATCAGATGTTTATTGATTTAAAATCTTATCAGCTTTTAACCAGCAAAGAATATTTTTTTATTTACAAACACGTCGTATTGTAATACTTCACAACTAATGAAATATGTAATGAAAAATCTAAATAGAGCAGAGTCAAGTATTAACTATATTTTTTTACCATTGGCTTTTATCCATCTGTATATTTAATTTAACAAGGCGTTTTCTATAGTGTCCATTTTTCACCCACCCTACGATTAAGGTGGCATTTTGTGGTAAATGGCTAATAATAAATGGTTAATGGTAATTAAAAATATTTTTCTATACCAATGTCTTTGTTAAAAGGCTTTAATTTATGCCTTGGAGACGAGCTTTGGCCTTATATTATTAAAATGCACAATTCGAGCACGGGTCCACTCGTATCCGTTACACGAAGAACTTTTAAGCAAAAATATTTATTTAAAAACGGTCTCAACTAGTTCAGCTTAGCCAGGAAAATGTTTAATACAGATAATAGGCTACGTGCAAAAAATATATAAATATCCCTGATATATCCTTATCTTTTAAAGGATCTATATATATGAAAGTACAAATTCATAACCAAGCATATGGTACAACTATTAAGCAACAACTCTTCAGTAATTCAATATTTATACTTTTGCATCAATAAAATTTTTGTATTAGTTTCTATATAATAAGAAAGAGCTGCCAATAAGAATGCCAAGAGAATGTAAAGTATCGTGATTAATTATATCCCTTAGTTTGGGACGAAAAACCTTTAAATTGTGTTTTCCCTAATAGGTCACTTTTATGTAATTGAATTGGAATCATGTAATCAAAACAGTTTTCTACTATCCATATTTTACTGTGACTAAGAAGTATGTTTTAAGGTTTGGAATGACTACTAAGTTGTATAATGCTACCTTAAAATGTTAGTTAATTTAATATAATCCTATAATATAAAATAAATATAAAATTAGTTTCTTTCACGAAGATTATTTATATATTGATTTTATCTACTAAAGAATATACGGTACTTACGTATTAAACGGAGGCCACCTAACCTACAGATTCAATTCGATTAGTAAACCTTCATGCGATTTTTTCACCATCAGCAAGTTTGGTTGGTTAGGTTAGGTTAAGATAGTTTAATTTGATAAAAAAACATATATTTATGATAACCCAACCTAACATAACCACTGCAGCGCGCTGTAAAATATGTGGCCTCCGTATAATACGTAAGTACCGAATATACTCTAGACTTGCATATTAAATCAGTGCTTAACTGATGAACTTGACGATTTGCCAATCTCTACGATTGTGCAGAAAATAATCCATGTCAAATGTAATGTTTTATATTGGGGATTTTTTTTATAAAACAACAAAGTAAGAATTTGTGTTAATTCAATAATAGTTACCCACTAATAACCAAATTTAATGGCAAATGCACTTATTTACTAAGAAAATCCAAACTATTGTCAATATCATGTTTTTATTCTAACTTCACCTGACTACTGAATGCTTTATTTATGGCTCCGTTGTAGGACTTATTTATTTGCTTGTGATATTTAACGACTATTGTTCATATTTAACGATTTCTACATTACTTGTAGAGTGGGTCCAATAAACTGTGATCTGTTAATTCATTTTATTCTATTGAAGGAGCAAGTGTGATGGTAATGGACCAAAGAAAACTTTAACCAATTATCAAATATGAGGGTAGAATCTCAAAAGTAAAAATGTCTAAGAAGCTCTAGACATCCTGGCAATGTTATTATAACTATTATTACCATTACAACTAGTGACGTGGGAGACTCCTCCTTTATGCGTATTTCAACGCAAATATGAGTAATTAGTGTGCAATGCAGTGAGATACCTTGTGTATCGTCTTTACTGACTGATATTAATTGTTTCATTAGACAGGACCATTTATCAAAAGTTCAATAATTAAAAACAGTTGGATCCAGTTTTTAACCTTTAAAAAGCTACTAACTTTTCTCGGTGTCAAACTGGCACCCTGTTGAGTACAGAGCGAGCTTTAAAACCATTCAACTACACAAATATCATTAACTATTTAGTTATAAGGGAAACAACAACGACATTATAGATTTTGTTTTTTGTATTTCTATTACAAAATCTTAAAACTAAGTACAGAAAGAGTCAAGAGTTGAGCTTTGTCTACCATCCTCCGTATCCACCACCGTAGGGGTAACCGCCATAACCGTAACCGTAACCGAATGGCTCGTAAAGGACCTCCTCAACGATGGGGTACTCGCATCCGTATCCGTAACCTCCGTAGTATCCGGGGAATCCGTAACCACCGAAGAAAGCGTTGGCGTTAGCGGAAGGACCGGCCTGAGCCTGAGCGGGTCCGGCACGGGGCTGGGGCTGGGGTCCAGCGGCCATGGGGCCAGCGGGCTGGGGCTGAGGTGCGGGCTGTGGGTAGGGGTTGGGGCCTGGCTGGGGTCCGGCGTAGGGGGCGGGTCCTGGCTGGGGTCCTGGGTAAGGGGCAGCAATGACTGCTGAGCAGGCGAGGAGGAGGCCTGCGAAAAAAATAAAACCGTCTCAGAAAAGTCAAACATTAAATGGACCCCAGCCAGCCTTTGAACATTTTGGACCGAGCTACCGGTGAAAGGCACTCCGTATTGAACCCGTAGGGAATGAATTTAAGTTAAAATCGTTCTGTTTTAATTAAACATTTTAATTTACACCAATCAATGTGAAGTGATTGGTTAAATGTGAGCCACTAATACTTGAGGACTGATGCGTAATGTGAGAAAATGCGAATCGTAACGCCCTCTGAACTCAAAAATATTGATGAAAAGTAACTCTAGATTCAATTTATAAGCTCAACATCTGTACAAAGGGTATTTAAAGGTCACTGGATTAAACCACCCTGAATTCAATCATTTCCCTCCAAACAGAATAATTTATGTTTATGAGAATTAACTTTTACATTGAACGAAGTATAAGTCAATATCCTTAAGAAGGATACTCAACGTTAAATGGAATCTACTACCAAGGCAGCCTGGGGTCACTTAAATTTAGATTATACACCTATATTGTAGAAATTTAATTATAAAACTATAATTTATTTCAGTTTTTTATTATAATATAAAATTAGAACTTCACTAACAATATAAAAAAAAAACTTTATTATTTGTTTTTATTTAAAGAGTGAATATTTATTTTTTACTTGAATATGATGAAAGTTGTAGAAAATTTTGATTAATAAACAATTATTTTTATATTACTTACCGAAAGCGAGTGAGTACATGATGCCTGCTGTGCTAGTCGAAGATGAAACGATGACTATGACTTTGCTCTCTGTTCCCGTACCTTTTATACTCCGCGTGACGCCACCTGATTTACAGCCTTTACGTAGCGAGTGCCGTATCAATATATTTATCACTTATTTACACTTCTTTTTACACTCTGTAAATTGCGTGGTACTCTTTCCTTTGCGAATACAGTAGCCGAAATTGTTGCTAACAAATAATATTATACTTGATATAGTTATTTCTTTGCGACCTTGGTATAAAACGCGTCGCTTTCAAATGTGTACAATTATGAAGCATTTACAGCTACATTATTTACAAGGTTGATAGTAGATGCAACTTGTATTCAGAGTGCAAAGGGTCTGAAAATACCGTCAAGTGTTTGGTCGTTCGCAGCCATTTGTTAATCTTGCAGTTTTTAAAGAATATTATACAGGGTGACACAAAGGAACCGGAGGTTTTTTAAATAAGTAGTACACAGTAGTTAAAAGGAATAAAATGGTTTTAATACTGCACATAGTGAGGTAAACATTTGCCATTTGTTACAAAACAGTAATTTTTTAAAATGACGTCATGCATATGGCGGCAATGTACTTATCTACAAATGTTCATTCTGGTCAGAAAATCATCTGAAACTCGGGTCAGGAGGTCTTGTTCAATGCCATTGATATCATCTGTGATTGCAAACTTCAAATCCTCTAGAGTGCGTGGTTTGTGAGCATGAACACGCTCCTTAAGAAACCCCCAATAATCACTAGTGGACAAGCAAGGTGATCTTGGCGGCCACGGTATGTCACCAAAGCGAGAAATCACCTTGTTAGGAAACATTCATTCAATACTGCTCTCACCCTGGCGATGTTTCCGTGTGTTCTCGAAGTCCTAACAAGGCCTAGATGGTTTCTTTCTTGTTATATTCCCAGTTGTTCGGAACCCTGAAACCCATCCTAATAGAGTATTTCGGCTTGGAACCGTTCTATGGCGTTTAATATTAAAATGTCGACTAAATACCCGCTGGATTTGACGACGGATTCACCATTTCGGACCGAAGTATCGTATGCGAAATCGCGATGGTCTAGGGTCCACTGAGCCATTTCAACAAAAATGGCAAGCCTCACTGAAGGTAATGACAAAACTCCAATCTTCCTACCACGTGCGTCAACAATGGAACAGCTGTTTAAAAACGTCCGGTTCCTTTGTGTCACCCTTTATCTCCTTAACTTTACTAAGTTTTTAGCGAATTTCCCATATAGGGAATAAGCTATTACCGTAGTACTCATGGTAAGACCTGGACCCGGCACCGATTTATTTTTTTCATTTTGAGGTCCCTAGAGGCCAAAAACACCATCCGTTCAAATTCATATATATCAGTCATAGTCATAGTCATATTCATATACAGTATATATATGTGTCCGTCAGCACGATAACTCGAGCAAAAATTATCCGATTTTATGAAATTTGGTACAAACGTGTAAACCTACATTTATTCGAACGAGTTCGCGAACCAGCATAATCGGACTATGGGAACGGGGGTTTATGGGGGGTTTTATGGGGTAAAAATAGGTTTTCCCCATTTTTGACCCTAAAAACACAAAATTTTACAATTTATTTCCAAACCATTTTGTAGAGCTTAAAAAAAAATTAGTATTTTGAAGCGTTATTGTGCGCCTAATGGTTACAGAGAAAATTCCAAAAAATTTTAAATTTAAAATCCCTATGGAGCTTATTCTTATGGAGAATAAGTCAACTGTTGTAGTTTACTTGTTTATGAACATATTTTGATCGAATTTGGAAAATACATTCATTTCTTACTAAACTATTAACATAAAAAACCACCTTTTTACCCTCCCTGTTGCAGCAAACCTAAGTAATCGTTAAACTAATTCTATTTAAATAGGGAATAAATATGATATTTTTAAGGAGGCATTTTAATGTGAAATACTATCAGGCTAATGGAAATTCGCTTAGTCTGCAGGTTTACTGCGGCGGGGGTATTTTAAATATGAATACATACAGATTAACCCTAGATATGACAAAAATTTCACTTGATCGGTTAACAGTTGGTTTTTTGGCTTTTTACATGTAAAAAAATAATTCTTGATTCTAGTATTTTAAATAACATTGAGTTTTTCAAAATCATCACCATTTATTCATCTCGATATTTTCCCTTTTTTCAGTTCCGTTCCAAAAAGAATTGGTGTACAAAATTAGGCACTACCATCTCCAAATCTTAGATAATACTGCAACAATTACGTTAACACTTAAATGTATGTCTCAAAACACAGGTCTTGGTGTGAAGATTTGAAAACTAGCTTTAGATTTTCAATTCAAGCCTTACAAACGAAAAGAAACACAAAAACACACAATGTTTACTTTTTAAAATTTAAGATTCAGAACACCAAGCTGTTTTATTTACATAATACACTAAAACCAAATCTGGATGTTTTCAAAATATAAATTGTAACTGGCCATTATGTAAACGCAAATCTGGTGAACAGTTTTTATATCAAGTAGTATTATTGTTTGGCTTCGAAAGATAAGTTTCTTGCTAAACTTAAGAAATGCCACCGGCCGAGACTGTGTGATGAATAAAAAAGCAATTCAAAATTATTTGATTGTAAACAAAATGTTTTTGGTCAATGGGTGTGCACCTAAACGGGAAAACTAAGAACTGAACTTGAATTTTGATTACCATGAATGTAGCTGGCAATTGTATATTTTGTATGAGAACAGAAAATAAAAGTTTTTAATAATGACCAATGCAATCTGCCTCAATTAGACCTTTATTATTTTTTCAAGTCGTCATGCCACGTCAATCACGTTTGCGGTGTATTATCACAATGTATCTGTGATCGGGAGAAATAACTATGACGTTGCTATAAGCATTTGATAGTCGTTCTTATTTTGTCTACGATGTTGCCATGATCGCAGGAGATGACCAAACGTTGCCATGGTAACGGTAGATGATATAAAATAAGAGTTGTTTGATACCTTAAATGAGGCCTTTTAAGGCCTTAAATGAGGCCCTTAAATGAGGTGTCCCCAACGACACAGCTTCGTAATACTAACGCAGAACAATTAAAGGTGTAACCAATTAAACTCATATAATTTTCGAAAGAATGTATACAAATCTTGAGCAAATCTTGGGGCTAAACTTTAGGAGGCTGAGTCAAAGGTTAGCCATTTTTAGCTCTTGAATATACTGGCCAACGTCTTCATCCTTATTTCCTTTTAGACTAACAAGAAAAACTGATAACTGTTGCCTAGTTAATCACCTTGTCTAGTGTTATGGTTATGAATTAACCATATGGTGTCCTAAATTAATAAATAAGTTACCAGAACGGCAATTAAATTTGACCAAACATATAACAAGGTATACATAACCACGGTGATCCAACCATTCCGAAAACCATGCTGGAAGTCTGATAAAATCTTATGTTCATAAAAAAATTGATTATCACCCAAGGTTAATCTTTCCAATTACTTTACTAAAATTATATGTGACAGAAAAAGGCCTCTAATTCTTCACATCTGTCCTTACACCCTTCTTTTACAATAGTTTAACTACAGTGAGTACAATTAATTCTGGGTACGTGTTAATGAACACATGATTAATTTGCAGGTAATATATTACCTAATTATAATACATTATTTGCAGGAAAATAATTGAGCTTGAATCTTCCCCCCTTAAATGATTCTATCAAAAGTGTATGACATGATTCTAAGTGTAGCTTAGCCTTTTTAAAGTTATCAAAGGGGTTCATTTTCTATGAAATTCATTTAACGATAATTAATTGAGCTAACAAGCTTAACTTTCTATTTAGAAGAATTTATCTTCTTTTCATATTGCTTAAAACATTTTAACCCATTAAGGCAACATTTTAACCCACTCTTTAAGGCAAAGTTAAAGAGTGATATTTACGTACAAGTTGCGTGGATAAAATTAATAATTCATTTACGCCTTTGAATTGGCAATGATAATCACTATTAAAAGAATTAAAAAATATTCTCTTACGCATTATGATTTTTATACTCACTGGAAATATTCCTAGTACTGTCAGATATTCATATCTATATCATTGGTATGCGAGTTTAATTAGTATCGTGATTTAATGGTAGCACAAAGATGTTTTACATGAATAATTAAATAAAAATAATATAACACTATAATTAATTAATTATTAATCAATAAAAATATTTGCCCCTGATTGTAAAATGTATAATTAAAATGATTTTTAAATATGATTTGTTATGCTCTTACAATAGTTTTATTTACATATTCTTAACAAGCTTACAAGCTGATTACTAAATGTTTCAATAGATGTTTATATTAACAATGAAATTGACAAAATCACATTAATAATAATGTAAACTCCAAATAATAAATAAACTACCCCATCCACTGCAAACTTGCTAACTAAGCGAATTTGAATGCGTCTGATTGCATTTTAACAATAATAATTCCATAAACCAGTCATATTTATTCCTCATTAAAATTACATTAGATTCAGCAAGTACTTAAGCTTTGATGCTGTGGGAAAAGGAAAAGGATTTTTTTTTTATAGTATAGGATGAAATAAAGACATTTCCCAAATCTTTTGAAAATATGTCAGTAAACACGCAAACTACTACCGTTGTCTTGTTCTCCATAATAATTATAACATAGTATTTTAAAATGTATCCCTTTACAACAATGTTCCTTACAACATTGTGCGAAATTGTGGTTAATCTTAATGTTATGGATGTAATGGAAATTGGGCATTTCCAAAAGTAAAACGGCATTCCCATATTCCGATCTTGCTGGGTCGTGAACTCATTTATGTTTATTCAACTCTAAACACTTTCATGCATAACTTCATCAAATTCTGACCAAAATTACTCAGGTTATCGTATTGACAAACAGTTAAATAAATAAAAAATTTACTAAAATTGTTTTGACTACTATGGACATCAAGATTGGTTCCAGGTCTAGGAATGTTTGCACTATCTACGGTAATAGCCTCTATCCTATAGGGGAATTCCCTGACAGCAGCGCCCTTTCTCAATTTTAGTAATAATAAATTAGTTTTTACTTGTTAAACGTTTGTCT